CAAATGGTAACTTTAATGAAATTTATAGTCCTTGGTTTTAGTCCTGGGTCCATGATCCACCCAGAGTTAATTTTTGTATATGGAGTGAGGTATGGAGCTTGCTTGAGTCTTCTACAGACAGTTTTCCAATTTTGCCAACACCATTTGTTAAAAAGGCTGTTGTTTCCCCACTTAACTGATTTCATCTCCTTGTCAAAAATCAGTTGACCATAGGTAGATGGGCTGATTTCTGGGTTCTCAATTCTATTCCATTGATCTATGCGTCTGTCATTGTACCAGTACCATGCTGTCTTAACCACCAGGGCAGTGTAGTAGGATTTGAAATCAGGGAGAGAGATGCCTCCTACCTTTTTTCTATTTTTTTTTAAAATATTTTAGATTTTATTTGTATTTGACCAGATGTTTCAAAGGATAGTTAGTTAATCTAAATATGTAGTTAAATATGTACATTGCTGCAATAATACTTGTAAGAACTGCATAGTCTTATTTTAAATAAAATAAAAAATTAAATCCCTGTAATAAACTAGAGTTTGCTAAGAGTAGAGGTATCTGGTTACATGCACTCAAAATAGTACGGTGAGTGGAAAAGCAAGCATTGTAAATATGACTACAATCCTTACCAACACACATGGAACCATTTTTTCCCCAATAAAAAAGCTAGTCCAGAAAATATCTCATGGTATAAAGATTTATCATTTCCAGATCACAGTAAAAGGAACTTGAGTAATTTATCAATTCTATTTTCTACTTATGTCTTAGAAATACCTCACTAAAACTGGTATCTGACACAACAGAATGATGTTTGCAGACTGTCACATTGTAGTGACAGTACAGATATTGATAATTACAGACACATCTGGGTATTAAATGATCACCTCTTAATTAGATACTTATATAGAACATTGGTCCAATAACATGAAAAAGGAGAACAGGAGCTAGAAATGTATTTCACTTAATATTCAGACATAAAAGGTAACCATTCTGTTCATTATTCTTTGCAGATAAGTCCTTCCCCCCCCATGTTGAAATCTGAAGGCAATTAAATCCTGGCATTTTTCCAAGCTACTGTATGAACAGGATGCTGATGGCCATCACTACACAGCATACAGCAACATAAGGACTCTTCCGTTCACCAATTCTGGCACACTTCCAAAATATACCCAATAGTCCAGTTCTATTCCTGTCCAGGACGCTGGGTGTCAAGGATCGGATATAAGCACAGGTCCATATAAGCAGCAATATTATAGTCAAAAGACTCTGAAAGTTGAAAATGGCAGACATAGTGAGGCCGGCGAAGCCCCAGCCACATCCCCTTTTTTCTATTTTTAAAGAGGGCTTTGCTTATTTGGGGCTTCTTTCCATTCCAAATGAAACTGGAGATTGCCTTTTCCATCTCGTTGAAGAATGGGATTGGTATTTGTATTGGGATTGCACTGAACGTGTAAATTGCCTTCGGTAGTATTGCCACTTTCACAATATCGAGGCTTCCTATCCATGAGCAAGGGATATTCTTCCACTTCTCCAGGTCTCTTTTTCTTTCTTATAGTAATGTTTTGTAATTTTCTTTGAATAGATCCTTTGTGCTTCTGGTTAGATCTACTCCCAAGTATTTAACCTTGTGATTAGCTATTGTGAAAGTATTGTTTTTCTCAGCTCCAGCTCTGTATTCTCTTTGTCACTGTAGAGAAAGCCAACTGATTTCTGTATGTTGATCTTGTATCCTGCTGAATTGGTTAGTCACGGTCTTTTAATGTCTACCAAATGGTAATGCCTCTCAAATAATTTGGGCAGGATTATGTAAGCAACATGCTCGTGGCTCATGAAGGAGACTGGACAGCTTGCTAATAACGCAGTTAAGGTGTACAGAACCCTTCACAGGTAGGACTATGAAAATCCACTATGAGTTAGAGTGGTTTATCACCAAGAAAAATAAAACTTTTGGGGCCTTGTCTAGTGCCTTTTTTTCCATCATAAACTTCTCTTTTTCCCTTTCCACCTATCCACTAAAAAACTATGGTCTCCCTACATTTATCTTTTATTATCTTTTTATATCAAAGAGGTCGTAAAATTTTTATAACTGGGTGATATACTAGGTATAAGGCTTCAAGCTCCATCTATACTCTAGCAATTATTAAGACTTCATTCATCCTATGACTTAGTGTTCCATTTTATATATGATTCACATTTTGTTTACCCATTTTTCTGCTGATAGGCATACACAGGCTATTTCCACCTTTGCCATTATGACTAGTGCTGCAATGATACTGGTGTATGTCTCTTTAAGTCTCTGCTTTTCAGTCTGGGATATTTCGTTAGGAGTGGAATTGCTGGGGCATATGATAGTTCTAACAGATAACAAACAATCAGATGTCTTGGAAAAAGTAGTGTTCCTTAGAAGCAAGAACAGACAGAGAAGCGCTGTCTCACATACTTCTGGCATGTTGCAAAGAGAGGCTATTCCTCGGAAAGGGATATTATGCTTGGAAAAGTGGAGGGCCAGTGAATGAGAGGATGACTCTGAGATGGAGGGACACAATGAATGGGCGGCAAAGGGCTTAAGTATGACAGAGATGATGAGGATGGCAAAGCATAGGACAGGGATCAGATCTGTTGTGTGCTGTCAAGTTGACTACAACTTACAGTGACCCTATGAATAGCTCTGACACACCTGCTCCCACCGCCGCAGTCACTCTGTTAATCCATCTCATCGAGGATCCTCCTCTTTGGCGCTGACCCTCCACCCTTTCAAGCATGATGTCCTCTCCAAGGACTGGTTCCTCCTGGCAATGCGCCCAAAGGATGAGAGATGGAGTTTCACAATTCTCGCCTCTAAGGAATGGCCTGGTTTCACCCTCTCTAGGACAGATATGTTTATTCTTTTTTTTTTTTAAGTATAATTTCCATTTTTTTTCAGATGAGTTTTTTCTTCAGCCTTTAAGGAATCAAATCTTTACATGGGCTTTGGTGGTGTTTATGGGGTTGCACCTGTAGGTCTAAATCTGAGTGGAGGTTTTCTGTCCTTCCAGGCTTCACGAGAATGGTTCTTTACCATCTTGCTGTGAGTGGCACAACTCACACAGTAATGCAGTTTCATGTAGAGCTTAGGAAGCATATATGCATCGAAGACACTCGCTTCGGAAATGTCCCTGAAGGCAGCTGCCTCTATTATATCTTGAATTAAAAACTTGTTAATTGCCTTGTCTCTGGGCACACATCTGGCGCAGTTCGTGCAGCGACTAGGCTGCATGTGGCCGTGGCCCTTTTTGGCATGACTGTTGTTTCTCCTTTTCTTTATCATGTTGGAGGCGAAGGTCCAAGAGCCTGTTTATTCTTTTGATACATCATGGTATGTTCAATATTCTTCTCCAACACTACAGCTTAATGGCATTGATTCTTCTTTCATATTTAATCATCGTCCAGCTCTCATACACAGAGCAAGTAAGAAGACCATGGCTTAGATAAGGTGTACCTTAGTCATTACTCCTTAGCACTCTGGAGAGATCCCTTACAGGAGACTTTCCCTAAGTCTTTTGGTTTCCAGACTGCTGGTACCAAGAGTATGGTGCTGATTGTGGACCCAAGCAAGAGGAAATTAATAACCTCAATCTCTTCTCCATTATCACGGTGCTGCCAAGTGGCCTGGTGGTGAGAATCATTTTCTTGACGTTGAGCTTCAATCTGTACTGAAGACTGTAGTCTTTCACCTTCTGCAGCAAGCACTTCAAAAGTCCTCCTTCAAGTTCTCCTCAGTTTCGGCAAGTAAGGTTTGTGTTGTCTTTGTTATTTCCTGTTTTTATCTTAGCCATCCTAGAGAGGTATAGGAGCTCTGGTGGATTAGTGGTAAGGAGAGCTGCCAACCCAAAGAAACATGGTTCAAATTCATCAGTTGCTTCATGGGAAAAGATGGGCAATCTCCTCTTGTGCTATTTACGGCCTCTGAAAACCTTTTGGGAGGGTCACCTCTGAGTTGGTTTCGATGTGACAGAACACAACAGTGAGGTATAAAGGTATCTCATTGTGATTTTGATGTGATGGCTAACAATTCTGAGCAACTTTTCCTGTGTCTGGTAGCCATGTTAATGTCCTATTTGTTGCAGTGTTGATTTGAATCTTTTGCCCACTTTACAATGCAGCTCAATGAGGAGGTGTGAAAGTGCCACATCAACAAACTGTTCTGTCTGATCCTAATGATCACAACTAAAAATACACACAAGGAAAACCTATTGTTACAACTGTAATCTCTTTAAGGTGTTAAGAAGCAATGATGTCAGTTTAAAGACTAAGGTGCATCTGATTCAAGCCATGGTCTTTTCAATTACTCACTATGCATCTGCAAGTTGGACAGTGACTAAGGATGACAGAAGCACTGATGCCTTTGAGTGGTAGTGTTGGAGAAAAGTACTGACTATCTCAGGGACTGACAAAAGAACAAACTAATATGTACTGGAGAAAGCACAACCAAGGTGCTCCTTGGAGGCAAAGACGGTACAGTTTCGTCTCACATATTTTGGACATTTTGTTAGGAGGAGTCGGTCCTTGGAAAAGGACATCACTCTTGGAAAGGTGGAGGGTCAGGGAAAGAGAGGAAGAGGTAGATTAACATTGCAGCAATGGGTTGAAGTATGTCAGAGAAGAGGATGGCACAGGATAGGGCAGTGTACAGATCCGCTGTTCACAGGGTCGTTAACAATGATCACAGGTAGAGTCAATCTTTTGGGTGTTGTTAAGGCAGCAGAATCTAGAGTCCTTTGTGGTAGCAATGTGAAAATAGTAATAATGGTGATGATGACATGCATTTCAATTTAATTCTCACAAAGCCTATATCCACTTTACCTGCACTCCCTGCCGGTTTTACAGGAGAGGTTCAAGCAGCCCAGGTTCTGCACTTGTGGGTTACAGAGCTGGCGTGTAAGGCCAGGCCAACTGGCTCGGTCCTAACCATTCGGCTACTTTGCAATTCCCACAGCACTGTGTGCAGAAAGCCAGGTCCCCTTCCTCACCTGAGTAGCTGCTGGAAGGAAGAGCATGCTCTGGTCCCCCATTGAGTTCTGGGGCTCCTTCTGCTTCTGCCACTTCCTCTTTCTCCTCCTCTTCCCGGACCTCAGGGGCTTCCTCCTGTGGCTGCTCCATGGCTGACTTCCCCTCGGCACCACACCTGCAGGCCCGGTCATAGCTCTGGCATCATCTGGGTCTGAACGCAGACGGACCTCACAGGGCAGTCCCCATCATCCTGGGCAAGAGAAAACAAAGTGGTTGGGAGATGCAGCAAAGTGAACAGTGACGGAGGAAGCGGTAGAGTAGGGCAAGCATACGGGCTGCCATCTGCTCAGCAAGGGGCTTTCCCGTTTCTGCTGCTTCAGAGCAGGAATGCCACAGGTCCTGCGACGCTCCTGTGGTCCCTGCTCCTTGTGCTGCAAGTCATTTTTCCCCTTTCACCCTTTGCTCACTGGCTCTTATGGGAATCTGATAGGGTTGAGGGCATTCTCCATTAACCAAAGGGGGTGACAAGCCACTCATTATGCCACATCTCCCTGTTCCTCTAATGCATCCTATTCTTAGTCTTCCCATCTAAATACCTGTCAAAGGTGCTTTCATGGCACGGAGGCTCACATATTTGTTATTAATCAGAAGGTCAACAGTTCAAATGCATCACTATCTTCTCAAGAGAAACATGAGCCACCTCCTCCCACAAAGACTTACAGCCTTGAAAACCTGAAGAGGGGTTTCTATAAGCGGGAGCTGACTTGATGGCAGAGGTGTTGGTGAAACATCGCTCTGCTTTGCCTATTCTTCTCCATCAACCTTCATCCTTCTTTGCTTGGACTTACACAATAACCTGTTAATTGGTCCCCTAAATGCTTGGAAATTCAGCCCCAGAATCTAAGTCGAGAACTGCGGAATGAGAGATCTGTACATCTAGGTAGGCATCTTTTTTGCTATGACAGCCACAGGGAGGGTTCAGTTCACCAGAGAGCGCTATGTGCCAGAGAGGGACAGGGATAGAGGAGTGGCCAGAGAAGCTAGAGAAACTTGGCACTGTTTTAGGGGTGGGAGACCAATTGTATCAAATAATCCAAAAATCCAGAGTTTAAGACTACTTATTTTTTTGTTCTGAAGTGTAAATTACAATTACAAATTACTCTTTGACCCAGCAGTACCACTTCCCAGAATGCATTCTCCAACTATAATATCACTTAAACAGAATGATAATTTCTTAGTACAAGGCTACTCACTATAGTCTTATTAGGAAAGTAAGAACTAGGAAACAAGCTGTCTGTTACTAGGGGCTTTTGAAATAAACTATGAATTGGATACATGGAATTTATGCCACTATAAACTATGTAACTATGAAGAAGTTGTTTATAGATGGATACAGAAAGGGCCATTTGCAGAATGAAGTGTAGAGAGAGCTATACTTTGTACATACATATTTAAAAAGCTATAGTGAAGGGAAAGTCTGCGGTTAGGGACCTCTCTAAAGTACTCAAGAGCAACGGTGTCTCTCTGGAGACTAAGGTGCACCTGATACAGGCCATGGTTTTTGCAATCACTTGTTATGCATCAGAGAGTTGGACAATGACTAGGGAGGACAGAAGGAGAATTGACGCCTTTGAGCTGTGGTGCTGGAGAAGAGTATTGAATGTACCATGGACTGCCAAGAAAACAAACAGATTCAGCCTAGAGAGGGCTAAACCAGGCTGCTCCTTGGAGGCAAAGATTCTGGGGCTTCGTCTGACATACTTTGGACATGTTGTAAGGAGAGACAGGTCTTTAGAGAGGGACATCATGCTGGGTAGAGTAGAGGGACAGCGCAGGAGGGGAAGAACCTCTATGAGGTGAATTGATTCAGTGACTGGAGTAATCGGGATGGGTGTGTCAGAGGCAATGAGATTGGCACAGGATAGAGCACGGTTTAGGGCTGTTGTACATAGGGTCGCTATGAGTTGCAAACGACTCGATGGCACATAACAACAACAACAACATTAGTGAAGCTGCATTTGCATGTATATATGTACAATTTCTTCAGAAGCCATAAAAGAAACTGATAACAGTGGTTGCTGTGTGGAGAAGTGTAGAGTTGTGTGTCTAGGTCACAGAGATTTTCCACAGTATCTTTTATATTTTGAACTACAGATTATGTGACCTTGCCTAGAAATTTACATTTTAATGAGCATAAAATAAGTAGGCCAAGTTTACAAACAATGTAGCAGATGAGAGGGAATAAATGGAATTGTTTCTTAAGTCTCTTTGTTTCTCAGGAGATACTGTCCTATTTAGTCAAGTATCTATAGGAAATAAAATTAAAGGGACTAGATATTAAATGTCTATTTCCAAGTCTATTACAGTAAAATCAGACATACTGCCATCAAGTCAATCCTGACTCATGGTGACCTTCCATGTCTGGGTTTCCAAAGCTATAAATCTTAATTGGAAGAGGCTGCCTCATTCTTCTCCCAAGGAGCAACTAGTGGCTTTGAACTGCCACACTTTTGGTTAGCAGTCTAACACCTAACCCACTATCACTCCAGTAGACGAGGGAAATTTAGGAGATGTAACAACTTGGCTTTCTAACTGAGAAAGTCTCACATATAGGAGGAGACTCCGATGACTAAATTTGATGTGGGAATCCTGGATTGAATCCTAAAACAGAAAGAGGATTATAGTGGAGAAAATAATTCCAAACAGAGTTGATAGTTTTGTTAGTAGTATTACATAATTTCTTATTTTTGGTAAGTATATGATATTTATTTAGGATTTTCACATTAGGGGAAAGAGGGCTGAAAGTTTTATGGAGGCTCTACACTATCTATGCAACTTTTTTCTAACATTAAACTTAACCCAAAGTAAATGGAAAAGTTGTTAAAAACGGCTTCTCTTGAAATCAGATAAACTGGCCCAGGGCACCTGCTTGTTCCCAGCACTTAGCCTGGAGTCAAACTACAGCTGACTCTTCATCATACACACTATGCATCCAGACACTCCTATGGTCTCTACTACTTCTCATCATCTCTACCCAACACATGGCACTCATTTACACCGTCTTGATTCACACACACCTCTCTTTCCCAAAAGGAACTAGAGAGTTTAGTGAGTATGTATTAGTTGTGATGCTTAACGTTGTTTGTCGACTTAGCTGCCTATGCCTCTCTGGTTTGGCGCTTAGAATGCAGTCATTCCTGTGGTGAGGTGTGACATAAGGCAATCATGACTTGGGCTCTGCAGTGAGCAGCCAGCAGGTTGAAGGGGAGGTTTGTCAGGGGTGTGGGCTGCATCAAATATCTAAGGCCATGTGGTGGAGCTCACGACTTTTTGCTCCGTCTAGATCCTGCACTGGCTCTCTAATTTTTGGACTTGGACCAGCTGCCTCTCTTGCCTCACCGAATTTCGATCTGTCAATCTCTGAAGCCAGCAGCCTGCTTTACCTGCTGACTATGGTGTGTCACATTCCACAGCTACATCAACCATGGATGTGCCGACCTACATATCCACGTCTCAGCAGAAGTCGCTCTCATGAGGTCTGATCGCTGGACTTAGAACTCATTAGCTGCTATAAGAAGATGAGAAATTTTTTTTAGATACCTCTGTGTGTGTATAAACTTCATGGGTTTTGCTCTTCTAGAGAATATAGTCTAAACTCCCTCAGTGATCAGAACAAGGGAATCAATTCAAGGCGCAGATCCTGATGTGTGGCTCTCTGTGGCTTTTGAATGGTCGACTCAACAATCAAGTCCTATCTAGGCATGCTGAAGAGGGCAGTCACTATCAGCTGCCTAAGAATTTCTTCCTCCCTGTGTTACTGAACTCTAATTTTCCTGGATCAGCAATATGGCAGTTAAACAAGTATTTTCCCAAGCTCTTTTAAAGTTACAATGTTCGTGTGAGAGAATTCTAATCAACAGTATATGTGTACAATTGCTGGGAGGAGTTTTTCTGAGAAAACGGTTCTTTCTTGGTAAATAGACAAATCCAGCTGGCTCCTGTGAAAATAAAGCACCTGAAGGTGCAATAGCACAAGACGGCAAGGCTCAGGTAAGAAGGCAGGAAAAGAATGTGAGGAGACTGGTCAGGATGGCATCCCTTGGCAGCTGAAGGAGTCGTGGAAAGTCCACCTCTAGACTAGTTTTAGATGACAAAACCACACTCTTTTTACAAGTCACTATTTGCCTAATTGTTGTTGCATGCCACTTATGTGGTGGGGTGTGGTGACTGCTGAAGAAGAGAGCTGTTTATTGTTGTTATGTGCCATCAAGTCGCCTGTGACTCAGAGTGACTCTATGTACAATAGCTCTAAACCCTGCTCTATCCTGTGCCAATCTTATTATCTCCAACACATCTTCCCCCATTACTCCAGTCACTGATCCATCCATCTCTTCAAGAGTCTTCCTCTCTTGTGCTGTCCCTCCCTCTCCAAGGACTGATCCCTCCTTGCAACATATCCAAAGTATGTCAGACGAAGCTTCAGAATCCTTGCCTCCAAGGGGCAGCCTAGCTTCACACTCTCCAAGATGAACTAGTTTGTTCTCCTAGCAGTCCATGGTATATATACTCTTCTCCAGCTCCACAGCTCAAAGTCATCAATTCTCTTTCTATCATCCCTAGTCATTGTCCAGCTTTCTGATGTATAGCAAGTAACCGCAAAGACCATGACCTGGATCGGGCGCACTTTAGTCTCCAGACTGACGTTGTTATTCTTCAGTACTTTGGAGAGGTATCTGAGAGCACTTACCCAGTACAATTTGTCTTTTAATTTCCTGGCTGTTGGTATGAAGAGTTTTGATTATAGAGCCAAACAAACTGAAGCTGCTGAAAATCTCAATCCCTTCACCATCCATAATGATGCTGCCAATCGGCCCAGTGGTGAGAATCTTTGTTTTCTTGGTGTTGAGCTTTAATCCATATTGAAGGCTGCAGTCCTTGACCTTCTGTAGCAAGTGCTTCAGGTTCTCCTCAGTTTCAGCAAGCAGGGTTGTGTCATCTGCATAATGCAGATTGCTGATGAGTCTACCTCCAATTCTGATGCCACATTTCTCCTCATAGAGACTGGCCTCCTGGATAATCTGATTCAATCATGTAGATTGAAAAGATATGGAGATAGGACACCCTTCCCAATTTTGAACCATTCAATATTTTCTTGCTCTGTTCTGACTGCCTCATGGTCTAAGTATAGGTTTTGTATAAGTTCAATCAAGTGTGCTGGGATTCCCATTCTCCTCAGAGTCAGCCACAGTT